TTGGATCCAGCCACCACAAACATGGCTGTTTCTTTGACATAGGTGTCAGAGCAAGCAAGAACCATGAGAGGTGGGTCTGCACAATAAAAGTGATTGATCTCATTAGGTCCACAGAAGGACAAACGAAGCATCAGGATGGTCTGTATAAGGCCATTTGCAAATCCATAAATATAAGGAGCACCAACAAGAGAGATGCAGGCATATCTGGACATTTTGCTACTGTATAACAGAGGCTTGCAGATTGCCATGTTGCAGTCATAAGCCATCACTGCAAGCATATAATAATCTGTGATCACCAGGGCAATGAAAAAGTGGAATTGTATGAAGCACCCAATAAAGGAAATAGTTTTTCTTTTGGATAAGAAATTCACCAGCATCTGAGGAGTGACAGTGGTAGCATAGCAAAGATCCACAAAGGAAAGATGACTGAGAAAGAAGTACATGGGGGTGTGAAGCTTTGAGTCACTTCTGATTAAGAGAATCATGCTCACATTGCCGATTACAGTGATGAGGTAGATCACTAGGAACACCGCAAAAAGTATAGGTTGCAATTCTGCTCGAGCTGTCAGTCCCAGGAAAATAAACTCAGTCACCAATGTGTAGTTTTTCTTTAACATTATGTTTGTTGACCTCAAATAAATCCTAAAGAAAAGGAAATAAAATGCATCTGACTTCTCTTATCCATTCATAAACCACATCATGTTATCTGATATTTTCTTCACCTCTTTCAGAATTGTAAATACATGTGGCATGAGGTAGTAAGCATGTGATTGGTGTTTAAGCACCTAAATTAGTATAGAGTTTCATGTGTGTCTGTACATGTTTGCGTGCAAGCAGTCAGGAGTCATCTTTTCCAATGTTTTATGCTATTCTCTCTCATTCTTTTCTTGTTTGAAGAGCTTTTATCTTTTAACAATTCTTTATTATTTTTGCTTAAATTTCTTTCAGTATATGTATATAATCATTGCTTTTAAAAATATAATTCTTTATTTTATAAACATCTTTGGATGCAGTTTCTAAAGTGTCAGTCATTGTAACTTATGTTTGTTTTTCACAGTTAAAAGAACTTAATAACTGAAAATGGGGTATGGTGCATATTTTTATAAAAATAGTATATCTCTTTTTTTGATGGCTTTGGGTTTTGAATCCGGGTTGGTGCCCTACCACTTGAGTCACTTCCTCAGCCTTTTTTGATTTAGTTATTTTTTGGATAAGTTCTCATGTTTTTTTCATGAGGTCTGCCTTGGACCACAATCCTCCTGCCTACATTTATCATGTAGTTGTAATTAAAGAGTGGCCACCACGCCCACCTTATGGGTTGAGTTGGGGTCTGGCTAACATTTTTGCCTAGACTGACCTCTAACCATGAGTGATTCTTCTAATCTCCACCTCTCAAGTGACTGGAATTACAGCCTTTTACCACTATGGCCAGTCCAAAACTAGGATCCCTTTGCCTTCCCTTCTGATGCCAGAATCTTTTTAATGCTATTCCTTGACTCTGTTACCTATGTTCATTTTCCTTACTCTACTTCCAAGACAGGTAGCAATCATACCAAGAAACTTTTTCTTCACTTTTAAGAACTAGATCAGGAAGTCATTTGTTTTATATAATTTTGTCCCAATGGACAGATAATTTTGTGGGAGAGGCAAAATAATTCTTACTTCTTTTATTTATGTACGATGAATGTATAAATAATATGCAATTTGTTTTATACAGTTATATGCATATGTACATTTGTATCATTAAGTATTCAAAGAGGGCAGCATTTAAGGCATAACACAGTGCACCAGAAGACTCTGGTGTGATGGCAGTTGGGCAGTAAATGAAAAGAAGATTGAGAAATGCATGCTCAGAACTAATGATTTTGCTGTAAATTTATCTCATTCTAAGTCTTGTTATTTTTTAATGTTATAGCATAAATTCAATAGAGGTTCCTTAAAACATGAAACATAAGTTCTATGATTCCTAGTGAAATAATAATCTTATTAATTACATAAATGACATAGTACTTATGTCATGAAGTGCATCTCTCAACCTTTGGGCTGAATAAATTGTTATTGAGACCATCATGGGAAATTGACATCTCCCTTCAATGGCTTATACCCACTTATAAGGTCATATGATACTGACTTTTTTGGGGTGAACTATAATATGAATAATGGAAAAATGGTCATTTTGTGAGGCACTTTATAAATTCAATCTTCAAGGGTTCTTTCCCAATACATTTTCACACTCTGCACATGAGGACAAAGAAATCATTTGCTATGGTAATAAGACACTAACCTAGTCAGCTAATAAATTCTAATTACTTCATGTGTTTAAGTTCATAAGTTCCAACTGGACTTTAACATATTGATTGCTAAGTAGGCTAGCAATTGCTGGCAGGATTTGTGGGTGCTAGAATGGTTTTGGTGGGATTTTGGGTGATGTATTTGCTAAGCAAATGCTCTACCACTCGAGCCACACTCCCAGACTTTTTTGCTGTTAGCTTATTTTTCATAAAATTCTCAAAATTTTTCCTTGGTCATTCTCAGATCACTACCCTCCTACTTCTACTTTCTGAGTAGCTGGGATTACAGGCATGAATCACCTTGCCTGCCTTTGTTTTGACAAAAGATCTTGCTAACATTTGCCTATGCTGGGCTCAAACTGCAATACCCCCACCTTTTCCTCCCAAGTGATTACAGACATGAAGCACCACACCAGCTCTCTGGAATACTATTTTTAATGTATTTACTTATTGAAATATTAACCAAGACTCAAAATATTTACCTTCTCCAAAGCTGTGGGTAAATAAGATAATGCAAACAATGAGAACTCCAAATAATTTGTTTCAGTATTTTTTGACAATATCTTGCATTTTAAGAAAAAGAACACAACATCCTACATGCATTAAGCTATGAAATCTCACAGAAGTATTTTCAAGGGATAAAAGTGGCTCTAAGGCATACTAGCTTTTGTACTCTTTAAACTATACCATGAAGTTTTGTCATTGAAATGATTCCTGGCATGGCACAGTCCCCAAAATGTCTGAACCATGCTGGCTTTAACAAGGCTAGTGTCTCCTTCACTTGTAGTCATGGACAACTTGAAAAAATAATATATGGAATGCACCTTCATAAAGTCTATTTCAATTAATTTAGATAAATAATGCTGATTATAAACCTGGAAGTGGCCATTTCCCAACCAAGGTAATGACATGACAAAATGCTTAGTTATAAAACAGGATTTTGAACTCAAATCATACAAATATAGAATTTTAAAAGATATTGAAATCACCATAAGAAGGGGACTATGGAGAAGGGATAAAAATATAGATGACCCAGTTTAGTTTGTAATACATATATCCACAGAAATGTCCCAATGAAACTCCCTATATAATTATCTTAAAAAATAAAAAATGTCATTCCTTTTTTTGTTACAAAATCATAAAACAGGAGGGCTGAACAGGAGGGCTGAACAGGTCCTGTCTGGGAGCTTGGTACCAGTAGGAGGGGAGAGTGGTGAGGTAAGGGTGTGGGAGAATGAATATAGTGCAAATACTATGTACACATGTATGTAAATGGATAAATGAGACTTGCTGAAACTATTTCAAGAATGGGGAGAGGGGAGGACAAAGAATGATGGAGGGGATTAATTCTAGTATAATATATTTGATATATTGTAAAAACTTTTATAAAAACCACAATGTATCCCTACCCAACACAACAGTTAAAAAATCATAAAGATTGCTAATATCGCCAATTATTTTTCTTCTCTTCTTATGGAGCAGTGACAGTAAGCATACATGGCTAATTACTGAGTCAAGAGTGTAACAGTTTGTGGTTCCCTGAAGTCCTACTTTTTGGGTGGAAATTCCAGTTTCTGTAGTTACTATGTGTGTGACTTGGGAAAATTATTAATGTCCATGTGTCTTAATTTTCCCATTTGTAAAATTTAGGTAATAATAACAACTGCTTCCATGTGAGGAAGTTAATTCAGGGAAATTCTTAATAATATTTTATATATTTCTCAGGTAGTGAATACTTAAAAAGTTGCAGCCACTTGAGTTATGCAGATTTACACTACAATAAGATTTAGCATGGAAGCATGTGTGTGCCTTATGGACAAGGATATTGCAACTAATCTGTGATTCTAGACACAGCAGCATTTAGATGAATGCCTTGCCAGTTGTAAGCAGTCAATTTTTGTCAATGGAATTTTATTCACTCAAATCCAGCACCCTCTCCATTGTGTAAAAATCACTCCACTAGACATCTATTTGTAAGTACCTTGTTCTGAGAAAAATAATGGCATTTTAACAGAGACATTTACTAATTCATCAGTTTAGGGTTCTGCTCACTTTAGTTTTATCAACTGAAATATTTATTCCTGGATTTCAAATCTAAAAAGAGCTCTCATTAATCCTACCTGAGACAGGAGAGTGACTTCGGAAGGACATCAGTGTGAAGAGCCTGAAGAGACCATAACAGAATTGTTTAATAGGCACCAAATCCCTAAGGAAGTTATTTAGATTATGAAGAGTCACTATATTACCAGTCTTAAAACACTGAAGTCATTGAGGACACGAGTGTTTACCACATCCCACAACCATCAGGGAATCAAATCTCTCAAGCATAATGAAGCCATGGGACTCATTATTTATTTTATGTTAAACATCTTGCTATATTTGGATTTGATGAGATACTAAATTCTTCTATTTACAATCTAACACAGAACAGCCCATGACTTAGGGAAAAAGTTTTGGAGTCTGAAAAACATTGGAAGATAAATTTTTATAAACTTTGTCTAATTTTTTTTATTAATTTTGAATTCTATACCTTTATCTTTTTAATAGAAATAATAACTCATAGATAAAAGAACACTGTATCTTTATAACAGTATGAGTAAGCTGGAGATTCTTCATTTGACAGTCTATTCCCACCCACATGTACTCTTTTTTTACACATAGGTTCATTCGTCTACTTGGAGTTATAGACCTCACGATACAATTCCTGTGATGTTTACTTTAATGCATACTTTGGCTAATGGGAAGAATGAAGAAAAGGACAGGGTAGAGACCAGACAGAAGTAGCCCCATTTCTTTGTCATTCCCTTCTTATTTCAACTGAATATGCTGTGGTTGTATCCATCCACAGAAAGGACCTTCCATGGTACTTCATGGGGAAGAGGGTGGCCAGGGATTTTCCTTCTGGCTCCAGTTCTCACTGGGCTGTGGCATCACTGGCCACTGTCTTTGTACCCTCACACCTCTAGTGAAAATTGTTTTCTACCAGTAGCCTATGGCATTTCAACTTCCGTGAATGATATCTTTAATCTTGCTGTATGCTCCTTTTTTTCATTATATTCCTTTAAGCTAAGCCTTCTGAGAAGCATTTTCTTTTATGCAGCCTCTGTAACCCAGGCTAGAATGGCACTCAACTAATGTTGCAGTAGATGTAATTTCAGTCATAATAATAATCATTAAAATTCCAAGATATTTATGGGTCATTTTGGCACTTAGATGGGCCATTGAATAAACCTCTTTCTGGATCCTGAATCAATTGAGTGCTACATATATAAGTCAAATGGTATCATTACTGGCAGCATTTCAGGTAAATCTGAGTTTGACCATATTGTTTAGGCATGTTTTTCTGTTCCTTTCCTCTGAATTAATATATTGTAAATACAGTAGAGTAATTGTTTTCTCCCTCTTTCCCTTTCCATAACTGGCTTCAATATTCATGTCAATATCAGAGGAATGTAGTAAATTTTGTATTCACAATCTGGTATTTTTATTAAGTCTTTTTCAAAATATCACCAGATAGATTCGCTGCTGAATTCTACCAGACCTTTGCTTCTCAAACAAAGAAGCAAAAGGAAAGCAACACTTTTTGTGTTGTTTTGTTTTACAAAGGAAAACAACACTTTTAAACTCACTCATAATGGCAGAACTACCCTGACATCAAAACCAGATAAGGACACATTAAAAAAGGAAAATTACAGGCCATTTTCCCTATTTAAGATAGAGGCAAAAACCCTCAGTAAAACACTTGCAAACTAAATTTTAAAAACACAAAAATATCATACGTCATGGCCAAGTTGACTTCATTCCAATAATGAAAGAATGGTTTGATATATGCAAATCAGTTAATGTAATACAGCATATATAAAAATCTGAGTTTAACAATATAGTTCCGGCATGCTTTTCAACTCCTTTCCTCTGAAGAGTAATGAGTGAACTCTTGCCCTTCCTTCCCTTTCCAGGGTAATTTCCGACCTTAGTAACCATACCTATAACACAGGAGAAGAGGATGCTTTCAATTAATACTTAAACATGTTTAATAACTCTTTTAATCAATTTGCCAATCTCTTTGCACCCTACTAAGGCAGGCACAAGTCAAAAGTCAAGAGAAATTTTCCAAGTACTCCTAAATCATTCTCTCTAAAGTCACATAGTCCTCTGTTTTAAACCTTTTCCTGTTCTTTGTACTTCTTTGCAACTGCTTGTGTTTTCCAGAAATGTCTGAGTCACTTTGGTTTATTTCCTACCCCAGCCTATGCTAAATATCATCTCCACAACTTTTTAAAATACCTCAATAATCAAATTTTCTTACAACCAAACAAAGAAGAAAGAAATTTCCACAGTGGCACAGAACTTCTAAGCAGATGTTAGCAACAAGTTTGAAAATATTGGAAAAGACTTTATCTTAAAATTCTACAGAATTTTACTCATCATTTTCCTTACTATAATTGTAATTTTAGGAGTGCAATAAGTGGAATTACACTGCACAAGAATAATAATTCATGGTTCTTGAAACTTTATTTATCAACATGGTTCTCAATCTCATCCTTTTGGCATTAAAACTATAATCAAGTGCCTCCAAGAGTCTTCTCCATAGGAAAAATTGTACACATATCTTTCAAATCCACAAGTTTTTATAACTTCCTAAAACGTAATTATGCATAAGTGTATTTACTCATTTCATATCTTAATAAATTTCTATGGTTTGGGGTGGTCTCCAGAGTCAGTGTGGGAAAACATTTTAACGCAAGTCCAGCACTTGCAATGTCTTCGAAAACAATAATTTATTTCCTCTGAGTTCATTTTTTTATCTGTAAGAAACAGACTCTACCATCTCTACCCAGTAACATTGTAAGTGCTGGACTTTGATCTTGTCAGTGAATATGGCTATCTATTATTACATAGCTAGTGCTCTAGCTGTTGCTGTCAAATAACACTCATGTCATGATAAGAGCTGTCACTCAAAGTTGCAAATCTATGCAATCTATCACTAATGTACAGAGAATGTGAAAGCCTAGCTTATAAACTCCTGTAATTCTTTGATTTTCCATAGGAAGAACAACAGTAATTGGAAACAGGAATTACAGGAGAAAATTACAGCAAGAAAATAGTCCATCCAGCTGGGGAGAGAGTTTACAAATTAGATTTAAAAGATTTGCTGTTGTTGTTTTTTTATAATAAATATTCTATAAACCAATCAATATGTATGCCTATCCTGAATTTAGAAAAGCCATAGATATTATCAACTAATGAAAGCATGTTGAGTTTACAATGTTGAAGATGACTATAGAAAACTTTTGCAAAGTTACCAGTAGTATAAAGTTGGTGTACAAATTCAATTAAAAGTTCTACAATTTAGATTCAATGTATAAAATTTAACATAATTCATTATTTTACGTTAGGAAATATAACTTATTAAACAACTTTTAGAACATAGAACATATTTAATGAAGATTTGGCTACAGCTTGACTGTATGACTAAATGTTATGAAATTAAGAGATAATTGTAATATTAAAGTAAAACCTTCAACAATTTGAAAATCATATTCAGAATGACAATATGAAAAATATATGCAGAATTTTTCCCTACTTTTACATGTACTTTTGTTTATACCTTGTATGTTGGTAACTTGTATATGAATATTTGTCTTGTTTCTAATATTTTAGAAAAATATGATAACTTAATACTTTTAATTATTGCATTCCCTGTGTATGTAAAGACATAATTACATATTATGTGGGTATGTAAACTCTGAATTTCCTTTAAATTCATGCTTCCAACTTGGAGGAGTCAGTGATTTAAATAATCTCAAAAAATGATATGACAAGTTCATAAACGAGGGACTGCTTGGTTCCACCAGTGAGTGGGAGGAGGGGAGAAGGAGTAACAGGGAATACTATACATATACCGTATATATTTATATGTATGTAAATAGAACAATGAAATTCACCTAAAACTGTAAAAAAGAAGGGGGAGAGAGAGTTAAGAAAGAGTAATATAGATGGGGTGACTTTGATCAAAGTACATTATATGTACGTTATAAATATCACACGTTATAAATATAAATATGAAACCTCTTTAGTCAGTTTCAAATGAAACCTCTTTAGACAATTTTAAAAGGAGAGAAGTAAATGATGCATTGATTGATTTTTCTCTTTAGGCACAGTTCCAGTCATTTATAGATCAACTTTCTTCTCCTTCTGTGTCCTAGGAGGCCTCATTTAGTGTATAAAAGAGGTTTAGATCTTCATTCATTTTTCTTATACTGCTCTCTGGCCTCTAATCTACCCAGCTCCTATTTGTTCCACTGACATCCAACAGACATCTCAAAGCCATTTCTCAATATTTCCCTGACTTAACCTGCTAATATTCTTGGCTGACCCACCTACAACTTGGTCCTCACAGAGCTTATAGATCTCCTTTAGATCTCCCGTTTGGTCTCTTCTAAGCTGGCCTAGAAAGTGTACAAAGCAGTAACATGGAAATACGAGTACCAACCATGACACGTAGAAAGTAGGAGAATATAGATCCAAACACAAGTAGGAACTATTTAAATAAGCAGAGTCCAAAGTTCTCTTTGTTTACCAAAGAAGTTGATAAAGGCAAAGAAATCGAGACAGCTTGTCTTTAAAAGATCTTCTAAGGCTTTAAATTGTCTTTTGTTCTTTCTTCTCCACTCATGGTAGAGGGCAGTTGTTGGGTTTTTATTTCCATTTTCTCTTTGTTATAATCTACAGGTTTTATTCAAGCATTAATGGGAAATGAAGTTCAGGTGAGGAAGACTGTCTCAGTCCTGCAAAACAATACTATGATGTTGTTATTCATAATAGTACTTTTATGGTCTGACCCCAAAATGTTACCACTTTTCTCTGGTTTCAAATATAAACTTAGAGGAAGTGTTATGTGAACTGATATATCTCTTGAATGACACATCTTTGTGTAAATGATGTGTGCTAATAGTCTGTGCTTATGTCTAAATACACTAACTAGTAGTGGAGCTAATTTTATTTAAAGTAATTATTAGATATACCCAAAAGAATGTGACACAGGTTACTCCAGAGGCACCAGCACATCCATGTTTATTGCGACACTATTCACAATAGCCAAGTTATGGAAACAGCCAAGATGCCCCACTGATGAATGGATTAAGAAAATGTGGTATCTATACACAATGGAATTTTATGAAGCCATGAAGAACAAAATGTTATCATTTGCCGGTAAATGGATGGAATTAGAGAACATCATTCTGAGTGAGGTTAGCCTGCCCCAAAAGACCAAAAATCATATGTTCTCCCTCATATGTGGACATTAGATCAAGGGCAAACACAACAAGGGGATTGGACTTTGAGCACATGATAAAAGCGAGAGCACACAAGGAAGGGGTGAGGATAGGTAAGACACCTAAAAAATTAGCTAGCATTTGTTGTCCTTAACACAGAGAAACTAAAAGCAGATACCTTAAAAGCAACTGAGGCCAATAGGAAAAGGGGACCAGGAACTACAGAAAAGGTTATATTAAAAAGAATTAACCTAGAGGGTAACACCCACGCACAGGAAATTAATGTGAGTCAATGCCCTGTATAGCTATCCTTATCTCAACCAGCAAAAACCCTGGTTCCTTCCTATTATTGCTTATACTCTCTCTACAACAAAATTAGAAATAAGGGGAAAATAGTTTCTGCTGGGTATTGAGGGGGTGGGGGGAGAGGGATGGGGTGGAGTGGGTAAGGGAGGGGGTGGGGCAGGGGGGAGAAATGAACCAAGCCTTGTATGCACATATGAATAATAAAAGAAAAAAAAATTAAAAAAACAAACAAACAAAAAGACATGAAAGTAAAAGGGGGACTATTTGGAGAGGGAGACTATTTGGTGGGGTCCAGAGGGAGGACAAGGGGAACAGGAAAGGGTGGTAAGGGAAGTATAATGAAAGCACACTTTATACATGTCTAAAAATGTAATAATGAAACCCATTATGTTGTACAGTAAAAATGCAATTAAAAATTGTTGCTAAAGATGTGACTTTTGTAAATACCTCCAGAGGGAGACCTTAATTTCATCCCATGGTGATTTCTTCACAATTCTTCAGAGATGAGTCTCCCAGGGTTACCTCTTCAGATATAAATTCTTCCATTTTGTGAACTTCCAGTGAGGATCAGAAATCAATCCCCCTCCACAGGTAAGTCTGACAGTCCTGACAATCAACAACTCATAAGAGATAGTGCTTGATTTCTTGTTTCCTCGAAATTAATGGTAACCATAAAAATTGCCATACGAATACAAAAACACAGATATACAGACCCATATTCTCTCTGACAAAGACAAAAAGGTGACTACTGATACATCAGGTCTGTCAGTCCCTATAACCATTCCTGACCTTAGTTACAACTCTGTTATCCATGCTTCCACAAAAATTCAGAGTATTCTTACATGTTGATTGCTAGCCAGTTCTTAGAATTCAAACTTGTTTGCTTTCTCCAAACCTAGAGCTTTAAAATTTGATTCAAGAAGATATATTTTGACACTACATGTCTTTAATGATTTCATACAGTTACTACTAATTAAAAAATGTGTCAAGAGATTTAAATAAAAACAAGTGTAACAAAAAGGGTGAGAAGGAAAAAAGCTAAATGGAAAATAGCAATATTGCATATTCACTATGATTCAGGCATTTCTCCAGGTTCTGGGGACTTAGTACAGATAGCATTCCTGTTCTCATGTGGCTAATGTTCAAATGCAGGAGGGCAGTCAAAAACATAAATAGATAATAGTTGCAGAAGTTATAAGTAGTGTGAGGAAAAATAAATCATGGTTCCTGAGAAAGAGTTATCTATAAGAGAGCTTATTTGGACAAGTGCCAAGGCAATGCCTATCAGAAGAAATGTTATAACAAGAGAGAGCTAAGTAAATTGATGAAATGCATTAGAAGAAGCCTCATCTATGTTAAAGACCCTGTGGAGTATTTGACCTTGACTAAGTAGAACATTATGATTGTAAGAAATGCAATGTTGCATGTAGGAAGCCAAAATTACCTTGAACTACCTTAGACCATTAAAAAAAAATAGTCACTTGCTTTTAAGCTTTGTATCTTACCTAACATTGTTCTAATTATTAGCAATCTCTAAGTGTATTGTTAAGCTTAGCAGACTTCTAATTCCGCCAGCCCTAACATCTGAGAACGATAGGAAAGATTTCTGCACTTTGATGTAGACTGCCTACTTTCTGTTCTTACCCATGTATTTAAAAAAAAAGTACCCAAATGATCAGTTATTGGTTTAAAACACAGGAGTTGAAATGAACAGAATCCAAGGAATCAGGAGATATTCATTGCTACTGGAGAGTAAATAAGGAATTAGGAAGAAATAGAATCTGAATATATGTAGAGTATGTATGCCTGTGAACGGAGCCAGCAGTGGGACCGTGCCTATGTGATTTGGCATCTGGCCTGTGAGAAAGCTCTAAGGAACTGAGGCAAAGGTCTCAGAACCAGACATCCAGAAAAACAACAGTACTCAAGGTTCCCCAGGTGGCTTCATGTCCTTCAGCTGTAAATATGAAGATTATGCTGACATGTGCTTCTCCTGCTTCTACATTCCCATTTTTTAAAAAAGACATAAAAAGGAATTAATTCTGACTGTGATTCCCTGTACTAATGTAACCTTGACACAAAACACTTGGCATAATTTTTCTGACCAAATGCTCTCTGTGTAAAATGAGTTTATAAAAGCAATAGTATGCTTCATTAAAGTGGCTACTGAGCAGGACTCGGTAGTGTCCTCTTCTTTTACGGATCTGGTCAACCATGTCCCACCAGTAAATGGCTTACACAGTAGACTCTCACAAAATATGTAGTTCTCCCATTTACAGAAGGTTTACTTTGATGACAAAGGAAAAACCAGACTATGAACCATCACCTGTTGGCCTCATTCCCTGATCTAATTATAGCAGCATCCATGTGTGAGGATCAGAGGCCCATTGCCTTATAGAGGCTCCATGTGTAAAGTTAAATCCCTTATGTATTAGCAGAGTTTTGGTGGAGCTGCATGAAAGCCAGCACAGTGAGGTGCAAGCACTTTCAAATCTCCTGTATTCCCTGCTTTAATCAACATCACAAAGCACTTGAAGGCAGGTACTGAAATCCTTCCATCTCTTGGGGAGACACCCTTTATAACTCTCTTTTCAAAACCAGTTTGTTTTAGTAATCATTGACTTGGGACATTATTGGATTACACAAAAATTATATCACTTCTTTTGTATGACACAATCTTCTTTGTTTTGTTAGAGAAAATGAAGATGAAGGTAGATTCCAAACACAATGGCACTGAGGCAACTGAGTTTATTCTGCTGGGACTAACCACCCAAGCAAAGCTGCAGCCCATCCATTTTGTGGTGTTTCTCCTGATTTATTTCATCACCCTGACCGGGAACTTTGGGATGATTTTACTAATCAGATTCACACCCTGGCTGCAAACACCCATGTATTTTTTCCTTACCCATTTAGCATATGTGGATGTTTTTTTATTCAACTAATGTCTCTCCTCAGATGCTTGTTAATTTCTTATCTGAAAAGAAGACCATTTCTTACATTGGATGTCTGGCCCAGTATTTTATTTTTGTGACTCTGCTCCTTACTGAGTATTACATGCTTGGTGCCATGGCTTATGACCGGTACATGCCAATTTGTAACCCCTTACATTACAACAGCAAAATGTCCAGGCCAGTTTGCATCTGCCTGGTCACTTTTCCCTACCTCTGGGGCTCTAGGGTAGGAACAATGCAGGTAATATTGACTTCTCGCTTGTCCTTTTGTGGACCTAACACCATCAACCATTTCTACTGTGCTGACCCACCGCTGTTAATGCTGACATGTTCTGACACTTACTTAAAGCAAACTGCCTTGTTTGTTTCCGCAGGGATCAATCTCACAGGTTCCCTGCTCATTATCCTCACCTCCTATATTTTCATCTTCATCACCATTTTGAGGATCTGTTCCAGTGAAGGACAACGCAAAGCCTTCTCCACCTGTGGCTCTCACCTGACAGCGGTCGCTATGTTTTATGGCTCCCTCTTCTGTATATATCTGAGACCAGCAAATGAGCAGTCTGTTGAGCAAGGGAAAATTGTGTCAGTGTTTTGTATTTTTGTGAGTCCCATGCTGAATCCATTCATCTACAGCCTGAGAAACAATGATGTAAAACAAGCTTTGAGATAACTGTTTATGACCAACCTTGGTAAAATGGAGAAAAATTCAATGCCTACAGTCTCCCAATATAAATGTCTTTAAAAAATTAAAAAGTTTCTCTTATTTGTTCTACCTGAATGCAATTCTCTGGAATAAATATAATATATTTTTATATATGCATAGTTAGGAATCAAGGGGGAGTCTAGTGGAAATAATGAATGTGAACATTGCTGGAAATGATTATTGATAAGAAACACAATGGCAGACATCATTTCTTCAGGATTAAGAGGGGTCATGTGTTTTGTCACACTCAATAATTCTTTCCTACCTGATTCCTTAGCAGATAGACTCTTCCATTCACTTCCCGAGTAATCAATACCAAGCCTCTCTGAAAAACTCATGTGAGCAAGTTGAAGTGATTTACAAGATATTTTATGCATAAGATATGATTTCCGTTCATGGGATGTGTTGTAGTTTCTTTTAATAAAAGGTGATTATCTCTTAAAAGAAAGAAATATTTCTAATTTCAGATGCTTTTCTCACTTTAGTTTTGGTCAACTTTTGTTTTCATTTATCTTGAATTTAAAACCATACATGTCTTATTATTTCAACAAGGTATGCCAAATCTCACATATTTTAAGCCCCTATGATTTGTTTCATTAATATCCTTTAAGCAGACTACCTTCTTATGACAAATCTTCTGATTTATCACTATCCTTTTATATACATGTGATTTATATAATTTTGTCCCTAGAAATTACTAGTAATTGCTAGTTAAGTAATTTTTCTATCTATCTACCAACAAATTATTTTAATAGTAATATGTGTGAAAACTTGGTTTGAGTGTTTTCCAACTAAATTACAGCATAAGTGTGTCCCAGATTATATGAAAATATTTGAAATTAGCTTTTTAAAAGCGCATTATCAAACTTAACATTGATAAAAGACATTTTGATATATAACTTACTTTTAATACTTAGGTAACATTTTACCCATCTAAAGGATAGGTACTTTTTAAAAGCACATTATCAAACTTAACATTGATAAAAGACATTTTGATATATAACTTACTTTTAACACTTAGGTAACATTTTACCCATCTAAAGGATAGGTACAAGTTCCTGCTTCTGATCAATTATTATATAAAGATAGATTTCCACAGTTGTACTCTTTTTTAAAAAAAATGAGGTTAGATATTTATATCTTCTTACCTATTTCTAAATGTCAGCATTCTTGGTCATACTTGAAAACACTTTTTAAAAAATCCTTGGCAACCTCTAACTACTCCTGGTGACCTTGATATTTACTTTTCATACACTGATTTTGTCAGAAAAAAATAAAATACACTTTTTTGGAAGTTTATCTAACATTATGTTTTAAGCAATTAAAAATATTTGGACTTATTCACTAAGCTACCTCAATTTTGGAATCTGTTGATGGCTTAATTAGAAACTTGCCTAAATAGTTTCATGAAAATGTTTGTTTCATAATTGAATTTTAAAAACACATAATATATAGATTACACATAACTCTTATTTTGTATAATATTCTGTTAACCAAAATCTGTCTATGCATTGTCCTTAGTCACCAGAGAATCACACAAAGCAAGGGATGCCTAAAGTGTAATGATAAATAAGATGCAGGCACCTACCAAACAGAAAAGAAAGTATCCATAAATGATGAGAATGATGTCATTTTACTAGTTAGCATTTGTTTTAATGTTCATTAACATAACATTTTTTCTATGCCTGAGAGGAATCACAATTTAGGAGTATCTGTTCATATGTCATATCTTCTGAGGGAAAATTGCTTGCAAAAGGACCACATAGTTAGGTTCAGGATATAGTTCATTTGTACAGTGTTTGCTTCACATGCATGAAACCTGGGTTCCATCCCCAGCACCAGACAGAAAAACAAAGTTGTATTAATCAAAAATTTGCTTAAATGTTTAAGAAGATGGAAATGCTAACTACCCTGATTTGAACATTACTTACTATATACATTTGTCAAGATATCACACTTTACCCCACAAATTTGTATTACTAAATTAATGGGCACTGAGACGGGCAAAAACAAAAGTTTTCAAATAGCTTTAGTAAATTGATAGCATCATTGTACCCACATTAAATGTGTTTCTTCTTGTGTATAGATCACTAGCAATTTTCTGTCTTTCTGGCAAATAAAGTTAACTCATCTGTATTCTTTCATGTTAAAAAGAACTCTCTTTGACCTCCCATTCCACACATCTCCCATTGAACATGAGGGACTGTGCTATAACAGTGTTACTAGTAAAATATTTCCCACGTTTCTGGTATGATTTACAATGCTAATGTATCACATGCACAACCACAATTAAATTTAAGATATATTTTCTATATTGACCATCATATGTGTAGTTATTTGGTTAGAAATACCCAATTGCTAGAGCATCTAATTGACATCTTCTTAAGAGAAATTTGGAAGAGAAAAAAAAAAAGATGGAATTTCTCTTTCAGAAATTAAGATTCACTTTAAATCCAAATCAATTTTGAAAATTTAATTCAAAATAAATTAGTAGTGTGCTCAGAGGTATATAAGAAATAGAGCAGATATGGATTTATTTAGCTTAGAACAAAGATGATATCAGTAATCATTGGAACACAAAGCCCTGCTTAAAAACTGATGGGAAGAAATTTCTTAAAGATGTAAGTGAATATTTCCATGTAAATAAAAATACCATAAAATTATATTCCAATGTAAGTTCTTGTTTAATTTTATGATAAGTAAATGCTCCAAAATGAACAAGATTAGTATTTTCAAAATCATGATGTACATATTCTTTATGTGAGGAATCATACAAAGAAAGAAAGGCAATTATCAAACTGACAGATATACTTTATTTGTTAAGTATATATTCCAGTATTTCTTTTGTTCAATTTAAAAAAGATTCTTTCCTAAGAATTTCATCTGAGACATAAAAATAGCTGATAATCTTAAATAGTATTTGCTAATATTGATAAACGTTTCAGTAAAAGAGTTGCCATCAAATATTACTAGCCATAAATACAAATTGTTAGAAGCTTTCTGGAAAAAAATTTATCCATAGAAAAAGTTTCAAAGTTTTAAAAATATTCAGAATATTTAAATCAATAATTCTGCTACTGGGAATGTAACTTAAATGAAAAATCAGAGAGCTATGTATAAAAAGAAGTGAATCCACTGTAAAAATAATTGGAAACATAGATAAAATGGTATCATTTTCAAGATAAACCAAATGGAATATGATATATCAAATTCTGATGTCAGCTCTCTTTAGGTGAGATATTATAAGTAAATTTTGTTGTTATTTCTTATCTTTTTCAGTATTTTCCAATTTGTTTTTCTGTAAATGATATGTATTATATTTGTAATTATCATCAATATAAGTAAATTATAATCCTAAACAACAACAAATGATATTTACTACAACTTTAACCCAGGTGAAAATGTATACATTTTATTATCAATTTAAAATACATGTTCAAATTCATGTGTGGCATATGATTCAAAGTTTGTTTTATAAATTACTAACACACATATACATAAATTAATTAAGAACAGGCAAAAGATTACAAGTTACCCTTTGAATCAAACGATTTCACTAATAAACTTTCTTCTTCATATATATCTTTATTTTGTAGTTTTTCATAATGAACATGTTATTTGGAAAATAGATGACTAAGAAGTAGTCAATATAGGTCTACCATAAATCAATCTTACATGATCTTATAAGGAACAGAACAATAATTCTGCTTGTAATGCACATAAATTAATAACTTAATTTGAAATCTCAAGAGAAAGAGACATTAGTTATTACTAGGGTACATAGCGTTATCATCACAATCACCATAACTCAATATAAAATAGTAATTTCATCAGTGTTTCATTCTCAGTTTGAGTATGAATTGGAAAAAGATGAGTCACCAAAGATGAGTTGAAAAAACTTACTATCAAATTATGTGTGAACAAGATAATTGTAAAAGGTTGAGGGGGAGGAACCATTTTTTAAAATCCAGGAAAATACACTCAGGTGGCAGATAAGTTTTAAGTTCTCTTACTTGGTAAATGATTAAATAGCTTTTCTAATAATCTTTTAAATAAAAAGCCAGTTTGACTCAAATTGGCCAGTAAAAAAAGGAAAAAGAGAGAATGGAAATTGAAAGATTTGCCTTTGTGATACCTTGTCCCGGAGTGATGTTGGATAAGTCATTTACTTTCTGGAATCACTCTCTATTTTGGAAATGTATTAACCCATTTATTCATGTGCAGTGAGTGGAATTATTAAATGCTAACCAATGCATTTTCTGATTTTCTGATAAGCAGTATTTATTCAATTTTGTATCTTATTTTTATGAAAATTTTTGTTAAAGACTTTCTAGAAGCAATTAACTAAACTGGCAGTTAACAGTTCTCTATGATAAGCAAGTCATGACACTAATGTACTAGTTTTATCTTTTAAAGGATTCACTAAGACACCACAGAAACTTAGTGATTACAAATGAACACACAGCTAAACTGCAGTTCTTTTAAAGAACCGACCCTTGGTCACTTGTTGTATAGCACGGATGACATCCTTATTCCTTAGACTATAGATTAATGGGTTCAACATTGGACTCAAAAGAGTATACAAAACGGCAATTACTTTGTACTCCTCTACAGATTTCTCTGAAGGAGGCCTTAAGTACATGCAGAAAAGCGTTCCGTAAAATATGGTGACCGCTGTCAGGTGGGACCCACAAGTAGAAAAGGCTTTGTGCCTGCCTTCAACAGAATGTATCCTCAAAATGGACACAAAAATAAAAATGTAGGACAGAAGAATGATGAAGAGAGAACTTGAGAGAGTAAAGCCAGCAACTACAAACATCGCCATCTTTTTTATATAGGTATCAGAGGAGGCCAGCATTATTAAAGGAGGGTCAGCACAGTAGAAATGGTTGATTTCATGGGAGCCACAGAAAGATAAGTGAAAAGTCAGCAATGCCTGAGAGAGTCCATTAAGGAAGCCAAACACG